GATTGACTTTTCTCTTTGTTCTGCATTATTTCCTAGAATTTTAACTGCAGCTACTTTTGCCTTGAACTCTCCTTTGTTCTTGCATGATTCTGGTTTTGGTGCCCATAGGCTACTTTCTAATGATATGCTACTATATCTTGATTTTCCTACTTCGACTAATCTTTCTAATCATTCTTCTATCTCATTTTTTAATAGGCAGATTTCTATGCTACTTTCTACTAGCTGAATATCTTCCATAGTTTCTGCTATCACTTTTGCCTTTATGCTATTTGATATATTATTATTTTCATTTTGCGAAAGTATTGGTTGTATTGAGTCTTTTGAAGTTTTTACTTGTGTAATGATTCTTGTTTCTGCTAGTAGAGGCACTTCCATTCACATTTCTACCTTATTTATTATCTTATTTACTATTTCTTGTTGTGTATTCCTTGTGTTTTGTTCTCTATCTAGTACTAATTAAACTTTATCTATTCCTTCTGTAAAAGCAGCTCTTTTTAGTGCTATGTGCTATTGCCTTGCTAAAGTAATAATCTCTTTATCTATATTTATTGCTTTTGCTACTATCCCATCAAAGTGATCTACAAGACCTAGTACTGAGGTGCTCCCTTCCTGAATTATTTCTCTTCCATATTTCTTCATTATCTTCTTAATAAAATGCTTTGAGCTTTCTGTATTCCACTTTTTTGTCTTTGTTATCTATCTTGTTTTTGTTCTCTTCTTTAACTAACTCTCTATTTTCTATATCAAAATGATTTCATCTTTTTTTGCTAATTCCCTGTAGTTTTTCCTATTTACTTGTAAAAATTCCAGTTCTCGTCTTGTATACTTTTTTTCTATTAGTTGATTTCATATCATGTTCTAGCAATTTCAGTTACGAATTTGTTTGTTTACCTAATTTTCATGTGATTGTATCACATAAACTGATCTGTGATTTCAAGTAACAACAATTCACTAAAAAATTAAAAAATTTTTTGAATTTTCTTTCGAAATTTCTTTACTTCTTGTTTTATTCTTGAAATAAGAAAAAACTTTTTCTTGTTCTTCTAATATAATATGTATAGTTTCTAGTTATTTTTCTTTTTAATTAGTCCTTCTACTACAGTTTCTTAGTCTAGATTTTGATTTATTTCTGTTTTTCCTTTAGCTCTAGAAATAGTCAAAATGATCTATGGAAAGAGTTTTTTTTGCTATAGTTGCTATAATATCTTCTATATCCTTAGCAATATTATAAGCATTTTGATTTACTTCTTCAGTAGGTTTAGCAAAAACAAATACTGGTTTTGGTGTTGCAAAAATAAAATTAGTCCAATGTTCAGAAGAAATACTAGATCTAAAAATAATTAATTTGTTTTTTAGTAAAATTAAAAGAAAACAAATTATAATTCATAAACTATTAATTTAAAATAAATAATTTTTATATTATTTAACTTATTTTAATAAGATAAATATAAAAATTAATTAATTTAAATTATTAATTTACAAAAAAATATTATAGAAAAGTTATTATAACTTGTAATATACTAAACCAAATTAAATAATTTTTATACTATTTAATCTATTATGATGAAATAAATCTAAGAAGCTTTCTATTTTTACTTTCTCAAAATATATAAAAATACTCCAAAAGAGATATTATTACTAAGTAAACCTCTTTTTTGGTATTAATTAAAGTTGTTTATTATAATTTTCTGGTTCTAATGATAGTAAAATCATTAAAATCGGACTAGTAGTTCTTTTTAAAATTAAATTAAAGTTTATAAAATTTAAATATAAATATTTTAAGAACTACTAATCTAATTTTAATAATTTTACTACTATTAGAACCAGAAAGATCTAATAAATAACTTTAATTAATATCAAAAAAGAGATTTACTTAGTAATAATATCTTTTCAAAGCATTTTTATATATTTTAGAAAATAATATTAGCAAAAGTAAGAAATAGAAATAGTAATTCTCCAAATCTAATTGTATAAAAATTATTTAATTTAAATTATTAGATTAGAAGATATTTATTATAAATTAAATGCAAATATTTTATAACTCAATAATTCAAATTAAATTATACTATTAGATTTGTCTAATTAAAACAAATCAAATTGTATAAAAATTATTTAATTTGAATTATAAATTATAAGTTATAATAAATTTATTATAATACTTCTCTACATTATAATATTCTATAAGTTATCTTAATATTTAAAATTTTACCATCCATCACAGATCAAAGTTAAAAATTCAGCATTTTCAATATTTTTATCAACTTTTAATTTAGTTTCATTATATACAGTTTCTAATAATTGACTAGTCATCTTCTTTCTTGTAGGTAATTTAAATGAAGGTTTTAATTTTTTAATCCAGACTTTAATTGGAACTAATTCACAAAATGAGAGAGAAAGGCCACATTGAAAAACAGCTTCAGCAAAACCTAATTCAAGAACATCTTGTTCATTTGTTGTAATATGATCAAAAAAAGTTTTAATATTTATACTATATAATGATTTTTTTGAAGTATTTGATCTTAATTGAAAAGCAACTTGAGAGAATATTATTTTTGAGTTACCAAAATATGCTTGATAACTTTCATTATCAATTTTAGAACAATTCTTTAAATGTGTTTCACATTTATTATTTGCTTTATTACAAGTGTGAGAACAAAAGTTATATTGAACTCTTAACTGTTTATATGGAGGAACTATACCAATATCAGTATAATAAGTATAAACAAGACTTAGATTTTGTGGTATTTAGTTATAAAAATTTAGATATAAAGAATTAAAAAAAATAACACCAAAAAAATTTTAAATCATAAATAAAACATTTATAAGTTTACGATGTTGATATTGTTTCATAAATAGTTTCATGAATAGTTTCATGAATAGTTTTACGAAAGGTTTCATGAAAGGTTTCATGATAAATTTTATATAAATATTGCTATTTCACAATATTTTGTAATATATACACGATCAAATTAGGATATTAATTATACTATTTTTTATATTATAAATTTTTTATATAAAACTTTGATGAGCAAAAATGCATATGATTTGAAAACATATATATTCATGCACATGATTCAGAAACATACGCATGAATGCGCATTTATGTATATGAATGCACATTCATATACATAATTTAGGTTTCATATGCACGCATAATACCTATTTCTAATATTAGCACGTAGCTTCATCAGGTAACCAAACTAGATTATAATTGTTGTATTTAAAGAACTGGGGTATGATTAATTTACAGAGGGACCTGACCTGGTCACATTATAGGTTTCACAATATCTAATTTTATATCATAATATTCAGATTCTGAAAATACAACTTCTAAAGAAATTTCTCATATAATCATTCCAAATAAATAAATATTAGATATTTTAGTAAATAATTTTCTACATGAAATCTTAGGAGCTATGTATGGCACAACTCCACAAATTCCTTCTGATTTTGTGTTTAAAGTTTTATTAACAGCTATTGCAAATTCTAAATCACTAATATAAATATTATATAATTCATCTTGTATAAGGATGTTAAAAAGTTCGTTTGGTCTAGTTCTACTGTAGTCCTTAAAAAGTCTGGTCTTTAACTGGTTAGGACTACTAGTTTATAACTAATTTATACTCTAGTCTATCTAACTATATCAGGTTTAATATAAAATATGAAATTACAGTTTAACTACCATTAACTTCACAGATAAAATTTATTTAAAAAAAAATAAAAAACATAAAAAAACATAAAAAAAATTAATATATTTTATCTAAAATATTATGACTTTTTTTTTTTGTTAATCCAGTTTCATACTATAATTTCAAGCAAAGGCTCGCATGTACTTTTTTGTTATCTAGACAATTGTGTAATGAGCTTAAAATATATTTTGCTACTGAAAACACCTGTTCGCTTAGGATGCTAGTTGTCTGAGCAACCAGATAATCGTGAACTATATTAACAAGTAGTATCTAATTTAAATCTAAAGATTTAGATTTCTAAAAGGATAGACTATCAATATTATCATCTTGTACATTCAAATACTTATCTAATACATTAGTACTAGAACTAATCAATATGTCATTATATGTTTATTTTAACTGAGACTGAAAGTAATAGCGAACTGAATTTGACTAGTTAGGTTCTAAAAAATGTTGTGTGTTTATATTATAGTTTTGATATGTTGTATTAACTATTCAATGAGTATTTTCAATTTTAGAGCTAGAACTATATGAAGAAAATTTACACGATGAATCAAGTAATACTGCCTCAGAAAAGGAGACCTGCAATTTATTCTAATACTTATCAAGCTTTTCAAAATTTTATTTGAAATATGAGATTTTACTAAATCTGTTGAATTTTTAGCTTCAGTAAGTTTTTTAAAAATTACAACAAAAGCTTTGCATATATCTTCAATCATTGGATAGCTCGATGAGAAAAGCATCAGAGTAGCTTTGTAAATTGGTTCTAACAACATTATTATGGCTTCAATATTATCCTAATCTTAATTGTTCATATATAAGAGTTTGAGTTGTTTTTTTGTAACTACTAATATATCTGTTATTTCTTTAATTTTACACAATTTATTTAGTATGAGATACAGAGAATTTCATCTCATATCACAATCAAGGTCAGAAACCAAAAATGGTCTACATTTTATCTTAAAAATTCTTTTGAGTTCTTCCAAATATAGTTGGGACTGACAGATACAACTTGCAAATTCTCTAGTTTTTTTAATTGATTCATCAACTTCAGTTAGACTATTTACTACAGTGAGGTTGAGTATATGAGCAACATATTGTAATCTGTGAAAAGTTTTGTTGTTATAATGAAATCTTAATATATTAGCAAGACTTTCACTACAGGCATCCATGTTTCTAGTATTGTCAGCAGTTACTAACAGAATTTTTTTTCTCAAGCCAAATTCCTCAATTAATTTAAAAATTTTTTCAGCTAGAAAAATATTTGTATGACTTTCATGGAAGGGAATAAAATTAAGTAGTATATGCTGCAACTACTATTCATCATCAATTCAGTGTAAAGTTACTGCAAAAAATACTTGGTTTGTACATGAGAACTATGCATCTGTTGTTATTAAAACTTTATGTTTAAATGTTCTAAAAAAACTACACAAGTAAACTTGTTCTTGATCATATACTAACTCAACATAGTTTGAAATTGTTTGTCAGATCAGAAGTTTGTAATGAGAGTTAAGTTCAAAAATGAATATTCAGAAGCTTTTAATTTCTATGATACAAAATGCTTGCTGGTTGCAAACAATCTATCAGACCAGAAGTCCATTTAATTTTTTTATTTTTTTTTCATTCCTAATACTGTAATATTTTATAGCTTAGTACTCGACACTTCTAAATATTCAACTAGATAGTTATTTTCAAAGTGTTTTTTGATAGTACTTATTCCTAATTTAATCCTATACTGATTATTACATAGATTGCAATGAATATATTGTTTATTTAAGGAATGCATAAAATAATTCCAAAGAGGGTATGTACTTTTAGATTATTTTGAAACTCTTTCATCTACTCTTTCAGTATTGGTTTCATTGCTAGAATCATCAAGATTTTTATTACTCGAATTATCAAGATTTTTATTATTAGAATCTTCAAGATTTACAGTTATAAAGTCCTCACTTAGAAAGGTAAGTATATTGTAAGTAAGTATAATATTTTTTAAAGGTTTGAAGTTATTAAAAAAAGATATAACATGATACTACTAATGAGCTTTGAATTTTCAAGTTTATGAAAATTTAACATATTATATATATTTATAAGAAAAAAAATTGTGTTGTATCTGAACAAAATACATCATATAAAAGTTTTTTTTGTTGAGTTATTGTCTTCAAGATCCTATATTTATATCTTTGTTAAAGGGTAATTGTAATGAAAATGATTAAAGACAATTGTCATGATGAGAAAGATCAAAAGCAATTGTCTTAACGATCAAAGATAATTGTCAATAAATTAGAGTATATTTGAGAACAAAGGTTTTTTTTAATAAAAAAAAAAATTATAATTATGTTATTCAACAAATTCAAATGATTAATTGTCATTAAATTAATTAGGTGAAGATGCTACATTTGATTATCTAATTTTTTTTTTTTGTTTGTCATTATTTATTTAGATTTTATAGATTTTATTTATTCTTAATAGTAGCGATAATTAATATTTATTTATTTCGCTCAGTTTCTATTCCCATTGTTATAAAGTGAGAAGGAGATACTATAAATCATCATTAAATATTGAAAAAATTCAGACTAATAACTTTATAGTCTGATATAATTATGACACAATCTCATTTTTATGATTGAAAAATAGAAAAATTTACTAATTGGAGTACGTATCTAGTGAATTTTTAAAGTATTAAATTACTTCAATTTAAATAGAAGTTTCGTTCTTGATTCATAACCTATTAAAATTTTATTTAATATGTCAAAATGATACTGATTTATTGCCTGATGTAATTATGATACAATTTCATTTTTATGATTGAAAAACAGAAAAATTTACTAATCGGAGTATTATCTAATTATTTTTTAATGTTAATTGTGTTAAATTACTTCAATTTAAATAGAAGTTTCGTTCTTGATATATCAAAATGACACTGATTTATTGCCTTATGTAAATATGACACAATGTTATTTTATGATCGAAAAACAGAAATAGGCTTGATTTAGAGTTAACCAATCGGAGTACTATATGATGCTATTAATCACCTAATTAGTGTCATTTGAAAAGTTCTGTTATTGATTCATATTTATTTTATTTTTATTCGATGTGTCAAAAAAGACACTTATTTAATATCATGTGATTAGTGCGCTAGTTAAAGACCAGTTTTTAACTAGTCCCT